CGATCGATGTCGAAGAATATTGGTATGACGACGAGGAATACGCGAAGAGCAAGAAAGAGAGAATGGTCACTCCTACACTGTCCGTTTACGACTTAATCCAGTTACGACCCGAGCAGGCAGAAAAACTATTGACATATGAGGATTATTTCAAGCTAGGAAAATCTAACACATTGATGTTTCGCTGTGAAAGACAAGAAAAGGCTTCTGTCGTGCAGCTGTGCGAAAATGTATCGAAAAGATTTTTCCGGCGATGGGCATTGAATTCTTTCTTGGAGATCATCCGCTACCGATTGCCGATTCTTTGCTGCGACGCGATCCTCGAAAATCTGCTGAACGACGATTTATGGCGTATTTGCTTGGCGGCTACGGGCCAAAGCTCTCAATAATTTACAACTTTTTTATATCTGGTATTATTGAATGTCACATGTGTTCTATGTTATTCAAATAAATAAATTTTCGAAAATTGAACTTGATTATTTCATTCAGTTACCTTGGAACTTAATTTTTTCTGTCTTAATGTCATTTCAGTTTTATTTACAAAAAATCGTAAAGAAATTTTCCTCCCTCCGATTCTAAATAATCAATGAAAAACCCGAGTATAAAACAAGTGTGGTGCACGTGCTCGCGAATACACAGTCAATAAGAATTGACCCGCGCGCGCCAACGTGTATACCATGATCGCATCGTCTTGAGCTCGCCGTACACGCGTTACATATGCCGAAGCAAAAGATCTCGAGCTTATTTACGTATGTATAAAAATGAGCAGCAGCAGCAGCAGCGGTGAACGAGCGAAAAAGAATTAATTTTGCCTTTTGCATCGGTGCAAGCGATAAATCTTTCTTTCTCTCTCTTGGAGCGCGCGCGCGTCTGGCACCGTGTGCAGCCTTCGCTCGCCATTAATAACAACAATAACAATATTAATAAGCGAAATAAAATGGACTGGCGGCGTCGTCGTCGTCGTTCGTTGCGACAAGACCCTTCACAAGATGCGAAGGGGGAAAAGAGAAAGAGAGAGAGAGAGAATATGAAACGCGGGACTGTTAAAAAGGAGATTTGTCGTGTAGACCGCGACGATGGACATATTATGGTCGTTTGTTACCTATGGACTTATGAAGGCGAAACGTGTGTGCGCGCGCGCGGCGAGCGCAGCACAGCACACCCACACACAACGGCCGAGCTATGAATGACTTTCAATAGCTCTCGCTCGGTAAGTGAGTATAAGAGCGAGGATGAATAGCGCGAAACAGCGACACACTCGCACACAGACGCACAACATTCTTATCGTTAAAATGCAGAACGATAATGCCAACTATATAATATGTAAGCGCGGGCTCGTTATTGTTTTTTCGTCGGCTTCCTTTTTTCTAGATGCGCCCTATCGCGCATCGCGCTAGCACAAAGCCACGATTATCGTTGTTAATGCGAACACGAGTGTACCCGCGCTTGCAAAAAACTTCGGGGCGCTGTTTTTTTTTCGTCACGAATTTATGAACGAGCCGTTTTTATTATACATAGATATGCATGTTATATGAATCGCCGCGCCGCAGCACGCCGAAGGACATACTGCACACACAGACACACACAGAGCCGAGAAAAATGGCTCCCAACGACGTTGTTTATGCGAGAGCTTTTTGCGGATAAATGTATACGGTAATTACGAAGTTTCCGGCTTCGTCCTTCTGCTCCTTTTTTTGTGTCATCCTGCGCCGCGCTTCGTTTTTACGTCGTTGGCTTGGCCTATCACTCTCTCGTTATTACACTTTCCTCGCGCGCGTGCGCGTCAACTCGAGTTGGATTTTTTTATCGAGCCTGTTTTGCCTATAGGGTAATAAGTGTGGACTCATTTTTATTGGAATTTGCATAATAGCGTTTCTATAATAAACAATTTTGCATTCATCGCTTTGAATTGAAAATGCTCCAGTCATGCAGCGGAGTTTAAATTGTAGCACTTACTTTAAGTAGTATCGGACGCGTTCGGTCAGACGTGAAAAAAAGTTATTTCACAAAACACATTCAATGACTAAAATCTGCAAAAGACGTGGTACGCGCAAGGGTACACGGGGTCAAAAAAGGGAGGTGCAGGTCGATGGAAAAACTTATAAACGCGCCCAGTCACAGAAACACATACTCACACATATGCGTGCGAATGAATATAAGTACCGTCACAGGTGTGAGAAAGTTTGTACACGAGCATTCACGCATTGTAGTAAGAATAAGAGAAAGAGAAAGAGCCAAAGAGAGAGAGAGAGAGAAAGATCAAAGATACAAAAGGCCAGAGAAAATGAGAGAGAGAGAAATGAAGAATAGAAAAGAAAGAGGAGAGATTAACGAAGGCGAAGTTCGAAAGAGAGAGAGAGAGGATTATCCAAGTTGGGCATCGCTTAAAGCAAGTATTATTCTTCGCGGAATTTGCCGATCAATGCAATGGATATATACGTCTGTATATGTACGTATGTGTGCGCCTGTATCTGTCCGTGTGCATATATGCGATTGGACAGAGAAAGAGAGAGAGAATACAACATTTATCCTCACGCGCGCCCGGCTTGGTCGCACGCGCGATCCTCGAGTATAGAGACCGGTGCAGCAGCAGCAGCAGCAGCAGCAGCGCAGCACGTATTTATAAGCGCGCACGCCTCGACTGCCTGCGTGCTTGCCCGCGCTCATATATAGTGTCAATCGTGCCGGGGATTATGTTATTACAAAGAATTTGTTTAATGGATTATAGAGTCGTTTATGCCTGTTTATTTTTTTTTCGTTGGTATCGTCGTGAATACGGCGCAAGCGGCAAAAGCTCGCTCGACTCTCGAGACTAACAAGCCCTATGCGCTCGTATACGTTTTGTGCGTGCACATATAGATAGCGACGCGCGTTATGGCGCACACGCACATTCGTATTATTATATATGTTTATATCCTATCTTCTTCGAGATATATGCTATTATAATGGGAAGAGTATACGTACGAGTCGCGCGCGCGCGCATTAGTCGGCGAAAATACGAAATGTCGATTTTATCGCGCGCAGCGCGGTGCAGTGCAGCAGCGCAACTCGCAGCATGTGCAGCAGTCATCCTCTTTCTCTCTCTCTCTCTCTCTCTCTTTAGCTTTATACATTTACAATGTGTATATCGCACACTGCGCACAAAGGGCTTAAACGCGCGCGCGAATTTTATTGAAAAATTTGATTTCTATCGTTTCGTACGACGGAGCGTATGTATATAATACGCGGGTGAGCGCGTCCGATTTTTCTTTCTCTCTCTCTCTCTTTTTCTCTTTTACTCGATAGTGATCGACGCTTTTGCGCGCGATCGATGGACGCGATCCGCACGAGATCGACGTATATAACGCCGAGAGAGAGAGGAAAAAGGATCACCACGCGGTGTAAAAGGGCGTACCGCCACGGCGGCGGCTGTATATAATAATATAATAAAAGTGTAACGATCCGAGTGCGGTAGCGCTACACGTGCACAGCGCAGGTCGGCACGAGCAACGTAACTCGAGCTTTAAAACAACCTCTCATTCATTCATATATATACGCGTCTCGGCACGGCGGAAACTCGTGCTTTGATAATGTTCTGCTCGCAATTCATACACCGTGCATAAAGTATAAATTCTAAACAATTTGGCCTGTGATATAAAGCTGTAAGCGCGCGCGTCCGACGAGATAGAGACGAATGGGTGTTGCGCGATCCAGAACGAAGGCAAAACTTCCTAGATAGATTATATCGTTGATAGGCAAACTCTTGGCCTATTTGTGGAAAATATAATTAATTTCAATCAGCCAAACTTATCGAAACATTTAATTATACAAGCTGCTGCGCGCTTGCACCGACTTCCATATAATATAAGCGTATATCAAATATCTCGTCTCGTTTTGCGTTTACATTAACGCTATGATGAATGACTTCTTTAGCCGCGCGCGTACATGAAGTATAGTATTTAATACGTATATGTATTTATATACCAGTTACCCTCGTTCTGCCTGTGTGTGCGCGCCTCGGAATGCAAACGATGAGTGTATATATGTGTACGCCGACAACAAATCGCGAGTTATTAATGTCATGTACTTTAAGCTCGAAGAAAATATTCCAAAAAAACAGGAAAGCTTGTGCATAGGAAGAAGCTGCTGTATGTGTACTCGCTCGCGAGAAAAGGAACGGCACGAACGAATTTATTTATTATATATAGAGCAAAAGGCGTAAATCATAATACATCGATCGTGCGTTATATAGATGCAGCCGGTGTGTGCTAGCGTTAAGCTGCAGCATCAACAGCAGCTAGTATATAATATATAGCTGCAGGGACAAAAAGCCGTGGAAAATTGTCGTCCTCGTCCATCCGTCGTAGCACAAAAGGATCTCTCTCGTACATAGTACTACTGCTGCCACATCAGCCGGATTCTTATCTGCGTTTCTTCTTATCTGCTCTCTTCGTACGTAGCGAATATAGCATATTCACTGTTCTCTCTCTCGCTCTCGTCGTCTGGCGTTACATGTTATATGGAGTCTCTTGGGCAGTATTATTATGGTATATAAGTGTCAAGCCTTCTCGATGACGACAGTGAAAATGGCGAAAAAGCCTGTCTCTCTCTCTCTCTTTCTTTCTTTCTCGCTTGCAGCAGCAGCATCAGTGCTCCGTGTCGCTATATAAAAGATAATGCGCGAGCGCGAGGCGATGCGTGTAAGCTTTTTTTGCGCGCGAGCGAGCGAGGAAAGGATTTTTAATGGGCTTAACTCTCGCGAGCGCGCGCGCGAGAAAGAGTCCGAGAATTTTATCCTCGTATATAATAGCCACTGCTGCGGCACTGCAGACTTGCGCGCGGAGTGTCAAGTGCGCTCGCGAGAGACAGAGTCAGAGAGTCCTGTTTTTGTACTCCGTTTTACGCGTATAGCGGCTTCGAACTAAAAATGCATGCCACCGCACGCGTAGACGATTTTCCGTGTATCGAGCTTATTATCACACAAATACATTATATATATCTGTACTGTACTGTACTGTACTCACCGCTATCCATGGCGACCAGGGTCAGCGTGTACTCGGACTTGAGCTCTCGATCGAGGCTGCGCAGCAGCGCGAGCTCGCCCGTGCTGGAGTTGAGCCGAAACAGGCTCGGGTCGCCCTCCTTGAGGTAGTAGCTGACTTGATCGCCGTCGGCGTCTCGGGCCTCGAAACGGGCCACGTAGCCACCGTCAGCTGCAGCCGCGTCGAGCGGCGCCGGCACCTGGTTCTCCATGACCTGGGCCAGGTAGGGCGAGTCCACGAAGCAGGGCGCGTTGTCGTTGACGTCCAGCAGATTGACCACGAGCTCGGTGAGGTCGTACTTGACGTCCTCGCGCTCCGCCGGGCAGTCCTCGGCGCGCAGCTGGAGTCGGTAGCGCGCCTGACGCTCGTAGTCGAGGCGCTTGGCCACGCGTATCACGCCCGAGTCCTCGCTGATGGCGAAGTCGCGATTCGGATCGCCCGAGACGATGCTGTAGCGCACCCGGCCGTACGGGCTGCCTGCCTCGTCGCGGTCGCTCGCCGACACCTATACCATATAAATGCACACATATATATAATATAAAACAAACGAACGAACGTGAGAGCACGACCCCAAGTTTTGCGGGTATACTCTTTTTTTTTCAACTTTATTTCTCTTTTCTGCTTCTCTCTTCTGCGCGCGTGTTTTTGTTTTAAGCCTTCGTTTAGCCAAAACGTAAGTCGAGAAGCTTTAAATAATGCTTTATACGCGATTGCACGATTGTATTACTCTTTTTTTTTTCTTTCGTCCCTCTCTTTTCTCTCAGTTTTCACAGCTCTCTCGCTCTCACTTTCGCAATGCTTTGTTAAATCAATGCTTCTTGTGTATATAAATATATATGTGGAAGCCCTCGGTGTTCATTTCAGAACACGCGCCGATGCGCTTCTTGGATTTGATTTTATTCGGTGATTTATATACAGCAGCAAAGAGTGAAACCAACGAGAGAAAGAGATTTTTTTATTTCTCGAGAAAACAGAAGGAACGAAAGAGAGAGAGAGAGATATTGAGATATCGGGAATTGTAATCCGCGCGAACACGCGCAGCTTTGAACGTATATAATATCGACGCTATTCCGATTCCCGAGTTATTAGTTATATCAGATGGATGCGTGCGCAAACACCTTCGCAGCAGCTCCGCGTATTTTATTTGTATAAAAATTTCTCCCGGCAAGAATTTCGCGCGCGGAGATTCGAGCGGATACGGCGCACGCATGCGGCAGCGCGCTCTCGATATATTATTGTACACAAAGCGCGACACTGACCTTCAGTACACTGGCACCGATGCTCGCGTTCTCGGCCACGCTGACCGAGTAGGGCCTCGCGTCGAACACCGGCGCGTTGTCGTTCTCGTCCAGCACCAGCACCAGCAGACTCTGTCGGCTCCAGCGACTCGGCTCGCCGCGATCCCTGGCTCGGATCCTGAGGGTGTAATTAGCCCGGAGCTCGCGATCCAGCTGGCCGGAGACGCGCAGCACCCCGTCGACGCTGCCCAGACTGAAGGGTAGCGGACTGGCATCGGCGGCGTCCTCGAGGCTGTACTCGACGTAGCCGTTGCGACCCTCGTCGCGATCCTGCGCCTTGACGATCATCACGACCGAGTTGGGCGCGGCGTTCTCGGGGATGCTGGTGCGATCGCTGCTGACGAATCGGGGCGACTCGTCGTTGATGTCGAGCACATTTATCGTGATCTGTGTGGAGAAAAGGGATTAGAATTTGAAATTAAAATAATCAATATTAAATTGTCTTCACGGCAATTTTATGGGAATTCTTAAATTAATGTTAAAATACTGATTTATTTTTTTACATGAACTGCCCAAAAAAGTGTAACAATTTATTTGGATGAATTATTTGTAAAGCAACAATGAATCACAAAGATTTAATTGTATACTCAAATTAAAACATTTTGATGAAAAGTTGAGTTTGAATATAGATTTAGATTTTGGATTTTAATTGTAAGAAAATTTTATGTAAATTCAATCTTATTCAATGCAGCTTCTACCGCTAGATGGCGAGTATATTAACCTGTAAATCTGCAAGTGGTAAAGTCAAAATAATTGTATAAATCAAAGCAAAGTTTTGAAAAAGTTTTGAAGCAAAGATTGTGAAGTACATTATGAGTACATATTTTTATATCTATCATCTCTATCGTATAATATATCATTATACAATGCATTAAAAAAGCTCAAACTCACTTGCACACTGGTGGACAGAGCTTTGGCCGGAGCTTTCGGACTGTCGGCCGCCTGCACCATCAAATTGTACACCGTCTTGGACTCTCTGTCGAGGGGTCGCCTCGTGTAGAGGGTGCCGTTGGCGGCGATCCCGAAATCCTCGTCGTCGTCGCCGCTGACGATGCTGTAGGTGACGCGGCCATTGGGTCCGGAGTCGGCGTCGAGGGCGCGCAGAGCCAGAACCGCGGCACCCGCCGTGCCGTTCTCGACGATCTCGGCGCTGCGCGGACCGGCCTCGAAGTACGGCGCGTTGTCGTTGACGTCGACGACGTTGCAGTAGCACGTGACGGTCGACGACAGGGCCGGATTGCCCGAGTCCGTGGCTTGGACCACGAGGATGTAGTGCTGCACCTGTGTACAAGGCCAAATAACACAAATGAAAAAAAAAGGAATAAGTAAGGAGAAGAAGAGCTCGTAAATATCGTGGCCGTACAAAAATTGACGAATAAAAAAACTAAAAAAAAAAACTAGCCAAGCGTATGTGAATTTCTCGGACGCGTCCAGAGAGAGAGAGAGAGAGAGAGAGAGAGAGCACGAGAACTATCAATCTGTTGCTGCAGCAGCAGCAGCTCGGTGCAAAAATGTGTATAGCGCACACAAGCCGTAGGTATACATGTGCAGCTTAGCAGATTTTTCTGCAGACTCTCTCTCTCGGCGCAACCGTGTGATTATAGAAGCAAATTGCCCCTGCGTATCGCCGCGTGCACGTGTGTGTATGTGTGCGTATACGTATGCGCCTCTATGCCACTACCTCTATACTATATATAATATATGTGCAGCAGCCAGCCGAGCTCCTACAAGAAGAGGCATGTGCTTTTTGCCCCCTTTCCGCGTGCACATATAACCCCTCCGGTTCTGCAATTTCGGAAGGTGGAAAAAATGCCGTGCGCAGCAGCAACACCCGCATTATATTTCTCCGCGGTATATAATACACGTAAACACACATACAGACGCGTATGAGAGAGCTTATCGTACATTATAAGTACATTGTTGCAATATAACATTGTAGTTACTCGGATTCTCGGGAAAAAGTAGCTGTACATTATAAATTAAATATATTCTCGCGAAGATCTTTAGCAGCTACCACATAGACCGGCTATCATTACGTTATTATTATATTACACGTGGAGTACGCGCGTATGTGGGCCAGCCTTTTTCGGCTGCGACTCCGCAATTTTCTTCTCTCTTTCTCTCTCTCTTTTTTTTACTCGCGTCCCGCAAATTTGCATACAAAGTTCTCGAATATAAATCCCGAAAAACGTCGAACCCTCGCGCGCGAACTCGTTCTTTGGGTGCCTCCGTTGCACATATGCGTGCTTTGGGTATTTATATTTTATTTATTTATTATCCGTACGCGCGTAATTCTCGCGCCCAAGCGTATAATTTGTAAATTCGAAGTTTTGCGCGCACGCGAGAGAGTTAAGCTCCTCTATACTATAGGCAGAGGTACTCGCGCTGATGCTTCTGCTGCATGCCGTTATCATAAAGAGGCAAACTTCAAAATATATTACTCGGTCTTGCGTAATTTTACAGTCGGAGCCCGAGATAAATCGTTGCGCGCGCACTTCGGCTCTTCGAGTTTCTTCGTTACACTTCTTCTTTTCTCTCTCTCTTTGACTCGTCTTCACTTTTTTTTCGTAAATCGTTTGAAAAAAAACCGTTTTGAAAATTAAAAGATGCACGTTATTCGCGTACACTACTCTCTTACTCGAGTCATGATAATATTTTTAAAAGAAAACGTCATTCTCGTTGCGGTGCTTTATAATTTCATAGCAATAACATCGACGTGCTCTTTCATTCTTTCTCTTCTTCTCTTTTTTTTTGTCAAATTACATTATTATTGTTATTACGCGTATATGCTTATAATATACGAAGTCTCTCGAGTTAAAATGCAAATGTACGAAATACGGCAATTCTTGAAACTTTCTCTCGTTAAACATAATAATCGGTGCTGGTCAGCAGCAGCAGCAGCAGCAGCAGCAGCAGCAGCAGCAGCAGTGGGCAAAGATAATAGAGTGCATCGGTTGTATATGCATGTGTGTGTATGTATGCGCGGATGAATGACGACTCCTCGTCCAATGAGAATCCCAAGAAAGAGAGACGAGAAAGAAACAGAGAAGATAGCACGCGCGTGGAACGAAAGGTCCTCTCTCTGCTCTGCTCTCATCCGCAGGTCCTGTGTGTGTGTGCAGCATACAGGAGATTCGATTTTGCCAATTTGGCAAGTCGCTCTTTCCCTTCTGTCTTTCCCTTCGCGTCCACAACGGTGGCGGCGCGCGACCGACATTTGTCTCTTTTGTTGCACGAGAGGGACAAGGGCTATACAGCTTGTATCGCATATTGTGTATAGCATACACGGATACAGCCACACACACGTACGTACGTCATATTTCGGCTGTTGCGAACAATGTTTTTGAAGTAAAATTACACGCGAATATGAAAGAGAGGAAAGAGAATGAATTTCTTCAACGAACTCCTCTCTCGCGTTTCTCCGGTGGAATAATAATCAACGTTTAAAGCAAGGAAGAGCGAGAGAGAGAACAACTGCGCACAGCCGAGGCATCAATGGCTCGAGGGCCTAGAGCTCTTATCGGGTCGTTCACTTTCGGCTTTTCGTTGTTTCGCGTCGTGGGCTACACACAGGCGCAATTTTTTTTCAGCGCTCGTAATTATCGCATCAGTATAAAAGAGTAAGCGAGAGAGAGAGAGACAGACAGACACGCTTGGGCTTTCTGTGCACCGACGCCGATTTCATGCCGATATATACCGACGTATATAATTCTTAAAGGCCGGAACGCTTGATTAGAGGTTCTATCGGGGTCGCTGCTGCTGTTGCTGTTGCAATGATTGTTGTTGCCCGAGACGATGCGATCGCACGACACGACAGGTTGCAACGATTTAGTGTAATAATAATAAAATAAAATAAAATAAAACAAAATGAAATAAATAAATAAAAACCAGACGCGAGAGTTATGTTTGAACACACCTGCGCTTCGAATTTATATTGTGCAGCAGCAGCAGCAGTTCATTCGATTCGAGAATTTTTGGCTGTTCACGATCACTCGAGAGAAGATCGTTACTACCGTTTCTATATATTAAGCTTCGCGTATAAAACTCGAATCGCGTTCGTATATATCATATCATATATAAACGCGAGGCAAACATAAACATTTTTATACGAAAAAGAAGACGAGGCGAGCACGCACGCGAGAACACAGGTGCATATAATATCCATTATTTCGGCGTGTCATCATAAATTCATCTCGCTTCTTTCGCGTCGTCGCGCACGCAAAAGTTTTATAGTCATAACGAGACGCGAGTAAGGGTCGTCGCGTAGTGGTGTCGTTTTTTCGGGATTGAAAACGATTACCGAGAACAATCAATCCCGCAGACGACGACGAGAGAGAGAGAGCTTGGTTTCTCGCGCGGTGCGAGGCTGATGCTCTGCTGCTGCTGCTGCTCCGAGGGCTCGCGGCGCGCGGCAATAAATATCAATTTCGCTAAAAGCCCTTGTTCCTCATCCTGTCCGACATCAAGCTGCTGCTGCTGCTGCTGCACGAATCTCTCCCCGTGTTGAGCCGCGAAATATGGAATGAAAAAAAACAGCAACCAGAAGGGAGAGACGACGACGACGAGGAGGTGGAGAGGATGAAGGGAATATCTCCACCTCGTTATGTGCAGCTATACACGGCGAAGAAACGCAGAAATTCATGTTTTTGGCTGTATCTTTCTCTCTCTCTCTTTTTTTCATCGTGTGCGCAGCGTGCGTATATGTGACCGGTATATACCCACGCGCTCGCGGGAGCTTAATTAAACCATAAATCCTTTTCTTTCTCTCCTTTCCCTCGGCCTCCCCCGTTCATCCTTGCGGGCGCGCATCTTTCTTTTCTCGTCCTACGCTGCTATATACGGTCGCGAAAAAATTCGGCGCGGCACTTTTTCTCGCGTGTAGCGAGTAGTAGTGCGCAATCAACCGAGTCTCCGCCAGATCTCTCTATATATATACAGCACACACACACATTTATAAATCGGTATATATGTTGTATGCAGAAGCGCCGCTGCACCGCGTCGGGTTGTTGCGTGTTCTTCACCACACGCATGTGTGTGCGTATATGTACCCCCGAGAGCTGCTGCTGCTGCTGCTGCTGCTGTGTTGTGCAGATATTTCGCGAATTTATTAACGATCGTTTTTACGCCGAGGCTAAAAAGCCTTTTTACCTTGTCACACGCGCGGGTACATATAGACGGATGGACGATCGGAATTATATATATACGTGTTCGAGTTTGAGAACACGACAAGTATGTACGACATAACAAGCGAACCGACGCATTAGAAAAATTTGACTTTAACGATCCGGCGAATATGACACATTTTTGCGTATATGCCATAGTAATCGTCGTCGTCTTTGCTCTTTGGCTACCTCGATGCTTTTCGCGTGAAACGGCGCCAAGAGTTTCGCATTTTTCAGGCTCGGACTCTCTCGGCTCCTCGGAAGCCAAGTTTACAAAGAGTACAAACAAAAAAAGAGACGAGAAACCAAGAAAAAAAAGAAGAAGGATCGGGCTCGAAACGGATTCCCCTCGTTTGCCACGAAAATTCTGTCTCTGTTTCTCAGTGGCGCGCGCGCGTGTTTCTCGATCACTGTTCGCGAATACAATCGCATTTGCAAAATAGAAACGTAAGTTTACCGCTAAGTTGACTCTTTTTTTGGCGTTTCTTTCTCTCGAGTTGTTGTTTTTGCATTCGTTTTTTCTCTGAGCTCCTGGCGTTCACCTCGCGACTCGGCGTTGGCTCGCGCGTCCGAAACACAATGCACAATATAAAAGCGTATTACACAGCTGCTGTTGCTGCTGCTGCTGCAGTCGGACGTGTCGATTCTTTTTCCGCCCGGGCCGTGCGCGAGCTCCGCGCGTGTATTATTATATAGCCGGGCGCGATTCGTGGGGGCAGCTTATATGGGCCGATTCTCAGCTCGGCTCGAGGACGCGCGCGTTACGATCGGTTTAAAAGCGCAAAATTTCAGAGCCCGAGACTTTTTGCCCCACGCGTGTTAAAGCGCGAGACACGCGACCGTTAGCTTAATGGCCGTTTGTTAAAAAGCGGCGTGCGCGTGTTAAAATATCGCCGAATTTCCGATCTGTACGTGTAATGCGTACGTATACGTAAACGTTAACGCACGTATCCTTATTGTTTTAAATACGTTGCAAACGCCCGGCCGTTGATCTAGGTCAGCTCGACGATCGCGCACGATCCGAACGGAAAACAAAAAAAAAGGTCCGCGAAGGAATTCCCGCCACCGCCGACGCGCGTAATCGAATCAATAGGCTCGAGGTCGACGATCGTTTAAGATATTTTATATCTCGCGTTTATCTGGAAATCGTTATGACCAAATAAAGCGTCGGCTCGCCGCGCTCGTGTTCTCTTATTTTTTGTCGCGATCCTCGATTTATGAAGTGTAAGTGTTTCCGCGTATTCCGCTCGAAACGTATATATCGAACAAAAAATAATAAATTACCTGCTCGTAATCGAGACTGGCCGTGAGGGTGAATACGCCCGTGCTCGGATTCAGCGAGAACACGTCGTTGGCCCAGTCCGAGACGAGGGCGTAGGTGATCTGGCTGTTGGGGCCCGGCCCGTCGGCGTCCTGGGCCTGCACCTGGCCGACCTTGACGCCGCGCGCCTCGTTCTCCGCCACGTCGAACGAGTAGGCCTGGGCTTGGAAGTTCGGCGCGTTGTCGTTGCTGTCTTGTACCTATGTAAAAAGCGAAAGAGACAAAAAAATTATTAGATAGCTCGTGCATCACGTTTGGGCAGAATTTCATGGGTTCGCGATATCGCAGAGCAGCTCTGCTCGCGCGTCACGGTCAAGGTTTCACTCGTTCTTTCTCTATTTTATATCGTGCTGAATAAAAATGCGCCGCTATTTATACATTGTATCGTATCGCATCGGTCGCGACCACGTGGGCTGCAGCTACTTTGCTTCACGGCAGCGTTATACGTTTCATGTACTTTTGTATATTCGATCGAAGCAAAAACTGGAACGATGAGATAACAGGAGGGCGTAGGCGCTTCTCATATGAACCGAAGGCTGACTTTGCTGCTTCCGATTCTGCGCGAAAGACGAGTCATATTATGGAAGGGGACGAGAAAGAGACAATATGGGCGCAAAATGACTGAAATTAGATTAGAACACAACAAAATTCAATATTTTTCAAATTTATTTATTCAAGCGATGTAAACATTTTTCAACCAATGTTAATGATTTCATAAAATAATGAAAATTACGCTTATAAGTTAGTATAAACTTATTATTTTTTCTGTACGAACATACGATCAAAGCTCAACTTTTATATAATCTTCGTTAATTCCGAAAATTTGGTTGAGAAATTGTACGGGAGGCATCAAGATCTCGGGCCTCTAGCCACCAAGCAAATGTGCCACAAATCTTTGTTCTCGAGGTACTTTGCGATGATATCACGGCAGTTGAGTGGCATCCTAGAACGAGTCACCTCCCACATAGAACTCGCTGCCCATTTTCGACAAAATCTCCTCAGCATTGTTTCGCACAATAGCGAGATACAAGCTTTGCGATGCTTTTCACCGCTGAGATACTCCAATTTTTTCGAGTGCGCAAACTTCAAGTAGTCCGCGTACGTGAGTTCGCGTCTCGAACGAATCAGATCGTAGAGCGATGGACTCTTATCGTTGTCTTCTATCGTTATGTTTTTCAGTTCTCTCACGAACTTCTCATCGTTGTACCAAGATTTTTCGACATCCGCTAATTTCTTGAACATGCCGTGATTGGCGAAAAAGTTCATAACTGTCACGGCGTCGCTCCGGACCAGCTCGTATCCTCTTTCTTGGAGTCGTTCGACGACTGCCAAAGCGCGAGACGCTAGTTTCAATTTAAAATCACAAAAAGAAGTTTCATTGAGCTCTGGTTTGAACGCCTCGCCGAAATAAACCTCGGTTGGGAAGACGAAGCCGGACAGATTAACGCCGTTATCCAAGAGGACATCGATCGCGTTCGGGATTAGGTTCGCCACGGCCAATTGCAGCGGTGTCCGGTCCAAATTATCCACGGCATCGACCTGCACGAATCGACGATTTTCGTGGTTGATCTTGAAGAATAGCTTCACCAAATCGTCGTTGTGACATTCGAATCTCTTGCAAATAACGTGCAGAGGTGTCGATCCCTCGTTATTGGTCAAGTTGGGATCGGCCCCGTTTTTCAGCAGCATTTCGACCTTCTTCTTATTACCGCAGCGCGAAGCCAAATGCAACGGTGTATCACCGAGCACGTCCTGGGCATCGACATTCACCGTCTCCTGGATAACGCCGATTGTCCTGAAAAAGGTCATGGCCATGTAATTCTCGTAACTTTTGTTGCAGATAACGTGCAGAGGCGTCAACCCCTTGGCATTGGCCTCATTTGGGTCAGCGCCGTTTATCAGCAGCGACTCTGCCACCTTCTTGTTGCCGAAATTCAGCGCCAAGTGCAGAGGCGTCCAGCCCAACTTGTCCTTGGCATCGAGCTGCACCGGTTGATTTTGTTCCTCGCTGATCTCGAATAAAATCCTCACTAGGTCATGGTCGTCGCAGCTGTTCATGCAAATAATATGCAGAGGAGTCATTCCTTCTGCATCGGCCAAATTTGGATTGGCGCCTCTCCTCAACAGTAATTCGAAAATCCTCTTTTGTTTGTGCTTCAGAGCCAAGTGAAGCGGCGGATCGATCGTTCTCGCGTTTTCTTCTCGAGGCCGACAATCGGGATCCTGTCCAAGCTCGAGAAATTTCTCGACGATATCGTCGAGACCGTGCACGCAGGCCACGTGGAAATGCGTCCATCCGCCGTCGTCGGTGTAGTTCACGTCGAACCTGTGGTATATCGCAAAAAGGTTGCGAATCTTGATCTTGCAGTTGTCGGTTGACAGCTTGTGTTTAGCCACCCAGAGCAGTGCGGTGGTGCGACGCAACAGGGGCTCGCCGTTTTCGTCGACTTCGGGCTCGTCCCTGTAGCCGCTGCGAATCAAAATTTCGTCAAGTGGAATTCTGAAAAAGGGGCTGCTGCTCTTGGTCTTGGCCTCTTCTATTAGCAGCCAGTCAATCTCTTCCGGTCGAAAAATGTCGCAGAGATTTTTCGGAAATTCGATACGTTCATTTCCGTTCTCCCAATTTATATTCACACGAATACTTTCCAATCTTTGTAGGAGCTCTTGGTGCATATAATCCATGGGATAATCCATGACAACTTCAAGATCTGATTCCAACATAATTGTAATATTTCCACTTGACACGAGAATCACTTGATACAGTCGTCGTGATCCTCCTTTGTTGTTAACCACGAGGTAAAGTTACGTCTACACTGACTTATACATTACGATCTGTATAATAGAAAGTGTAAACATGTTATTCTAATTTTTCTTGCCGTCGATTCCGAACTAAAATTCGATCGACAATAGTTGACACATGTAAATGGGAAAATGTACGAGAGTCCCCGGTCTCTCTGATAATTATTAGACGGGCAAATTTTTTTTAAATCGCGCTCACTCGGTTTTTACTTCAAACATGCCATCTCGTGAACAGGATAGCGCAGTGCCTTAATGCACTCGTCCTATCGACTCTTGCGGTTGTTTTACGACACAATTAATCTCGCGTTATTACTCTTAGTTTTTGGTAAATTACCTACACTCGCGTTCTCTCTCTCCCTCTTTTCTTCCGTCTCTCCTTCTCTGCTCCTGTTATCCATGCAATCAAAAACGCGCGACATTTGGATTTTCCCAAAAACGCATCGATCGCATTTCATGTATAGGAACTTTGTTGCGTGTTATAAAAGCATTGAAAAAATCGTGTCTCTCTCTCTCTCTCTCTCTCTCTCTCTCGCTGCCACTGGAGCTGCATAAGGAGCGGCTCGAGTACAAAAGCACAGACAACGCACATACACACGCTGCAGGAGGGTATATCTACAAAAACGTTCTTCTGCCTTTCTCTCTCTCTCTCCTCTTTTGATGACGAAGAGACGACGTTTGTGCCGTAGCTAACACAGGATTCCGTAGCGAGAGGGAGAGAGAGAGCTGTGTGCTGCTCGCGCTCCTATGATCGGTATATATACCGAACGCAGCATTCCAAAAGGCAGAAAAAGTCGAAGAAGAAGACGACGACGACGAAGAAGACGAAGAAGAAGACGAAGAAGAAGACGAGGGACGAACGGCGCGGAATTTCAAGCATTAAACGTCATAAGGCGACTATATTTTTGCCATTGCTGGTACGATACGACTCGCTGCGTGAGCTGCTGCTGCTGCTGCTGGCTCTTGCACTGAGTTATGGTCTTAAAGGTTCTCTCTCTCCGTCTCTCTCTCTTTCTCTTTCTTTCTTCGCTTGTATATACCATATACATGTATATACACACAGGCGCGCGTTTTTAGTTGGAGAATTTTAAAAGCTCGCGATCGCGTTTTAGTTTTGCGCGGATTTCATCATAATCTTTTTTACCTGCTGCAGCAGCAACAGCGCAGTGCTGCAAGTTGAGTTGCGCGCGCGCGCCCTGCTACGTGCTGCTGCTTCTGCCGCTAATATGCCTCAGCAGTTGTGTCTTGTTATATACGTCTGTTATTTAATTTTAATAAGTGTATATAAAAAAATGGTTTTTTTTTAAATTTTTTTATTATTTTTAAATTATATTCTCGGTCCACGCAGCACGGAGATTTATTGTATTGTATGCGCGAATCGGCCGCTATCGGCTGCGTGTGTATGTGTGTGTGCGTGTGTGCATATACTCGAGCGCGCGGGTAGATTGAAATCAGTTGCGAATGCGAATATATGTATTTATATACTTTTTGCGTATAATTTATGCAATCGCGGCAAAAGTACCCGTGCGTGTGATATCGTGTCGTAAATCAATCAATCTTTCTTCGTTCATACATTATGCGTGCGCGAGAATTAAAGCGCGCTATTTAAATATGTTTTGTACACATGTGTTGCGTGTGTTGATTCGTTGTTCGTTCGCCAGATGGAGTTTTCAAAATCCGCAAGTGGCAAAAATATTAGATATTTGTATAAGTTTTACCTCGTGGTTAACAACAATAAATCTTTGGAAATTTGAAACAAATAAAAATGATGTAATATATAATGTATACATATCGGCGAATCGAACGTTATACATTATCGGTGCACCCACGTTCGCAGCTCGTTAAGCAGCTCGACGACGATCGAGACACAGAGAGAGATGAAGAGTACTGTACTTATCGATCGGTACGTTATACAGCGTGTATATAAGTTAAGCGCGGGCAGTCCGCACAATAAGAGCTGCGAGAGGCGCGACACGCACACAGACACGATGATCGGTATATATACGTGCGCGCGGGCAGACGATCTCTCCGCGAGGTGTGCGTATAATACCGATATAGGTCGGGTACCCGATATTAAACGTTATTGTATGTAACGTATGGCGATCGTCGCACACCAATACCGATATCCCCTTCGTATAAATCATATCCTTTTTACGAGTTTGGAGGCTGAGGATACTCGCTCACACACATAAGCTGTCCGTACGTAAGTCTACTTACACGCGCGTGTATCTATATAACAGCAGAGGACGCTATTAAACGTTTATGTGTATGTATAGGCGATCCGAGCCAGGTCTGCAAGTACACGTGCTCCCATGTGTGTGTGTGTGCATGTGACTCTTTTGTCCCCCTCCCGCGCGCGCACGAGCAAATAATATCGGTGTATGATAAAGTGTTGTTCCCAGCGAGATTTATGCGATTGGTAATGCACGAAAATGGCCATGTGCAACGGCTGCGGCCTGGACTGCAAACGATTAAGCCCTATACGAGTCTTGTGCTGTAGCTGCTGCTGCTGCAGAGTACTGGAGGCCCAGCACAGATATCTATAGGCGACCGAACGAGTGAGCATGTTTTCTCGAGGCACATACACGTGCTCGCGAGTGTCCCCCCCACTTCGCTCGAACCCCCCGTTTGTTGACTTTTTTTCTTTTCTCGGATACATTCGTTTTATTTCGTATACGAGGATCATCGATTTGCACGCGAGTGTCCTCGGATTCTCCGATGGATTATGTGCGTCTATACACGTTATATGAGTGCGTCGAATATAATCCATTATATTTTTATCAAGCGAGTGTCTCTATACGTGAGCGTATGCTGTATAATTCGCTCGGCTCGGACGAAAATCATACTTATATCATGTAAATACGGAATATACGAAGAACGTCTCGAGTCTGTATGCCGTATACAAAGCAGCTTTTGAAAAAGAGGATGACGAGGTGCGAGGATATATAATTCGCGTTAAGAGAATCGGAAATCAAAATTTCAAGTGTTCCAGCGAGAGACGAGACAGGCCAAAAGTCCAAATTCTTTTTCTTCCTGCCGACATACTATGTAAATATAAATAAATCGCGAACGAGAGAGAGAGAAACAAACTCGACGCAAATGCGCTGCGCCGCATCGCGCGTCAAAAGCCGCCTGCACGAAACGTTGACAACATAAATCCGTGCGCACCTTTTCTCAGTCTCTCTCAATCGGCTCGCAAGAAACACCCGATCGGAGCCGGAAAAAAAATCTCTGCCTGCTCCGCTGGACGAAAGAAAGATGGGATTACGCAATTATATATAATACATCGCTCTTCGAGCTAAGAAATAGTTTGGCATTACACACGTCCTTTGAATATAATTTTGCGTAATAATTAGAAGTCTCGATCGAAGCTCATGATAAGAAAAGTAAAAGCTAATGATAAGAAAAGTAAAAGATCACGAGGATCCTGTTTTTAAGCTGATTTTGTTACTGCCGCTGCTGCACCTTGAACGCATATTAACCAATGACATTTTTCCAGAAAGAGAAGCGACTTTTCGTCATGTCAAACGTCAAGAGTATACGCGCTCGGCGCGCAGTGATTCGATAGCCCGCACAGCAGCAGCGAGTCGACGTGTTCACTGCGCAAAGACAAGCTCCTTCTTTTTCTCCGCTCTCTCTCTCTCTCGCTTTTTTTTTCTTTCAATCAGCGACCTTTTTTTTAATCAACCTGGCGTGTACGCGTAATGTCTCAATACAGTTCCTCGCTAGAATACGCATTATATATAGACCTTGCAATTATATATGTAGAGACGGTTGCTGCGCGTATAAAGGGGGAAAGTGTTCTTATGTATAGAAGCTCGATTAAGCCGAGGCGCATTTACTCGGAAACAATTAATGGATCGACTAGTCGCGCAGTGCACATCTTATGGCGCGCACAAACCCTTTGCCGCTGCTGCAGCCTCGCTCGTAAAGCAACAGCAGCAGCCGCACTCGGCAACGCAACACAACTCTCGGCCATTAATTCGTTTAAACTCATCGAATTATCTCCCGTTTATACTTGCCTCGATTGAGATGTATCGTAATTATTTATCATCTGCGAGAAACAGAGGGAGAGAGAAAGAAAGAGAGAAAGAAAAGGAGAAAGAGAGAACTGCAAAATCGATCGCGAACACACACATATACATCCAAATTAACGGTGAATCTGGGCGGAGAGAGAGAGAGAAAGAGAAATATATACGAATCGATGGTACATATATGTACGAGTGTTGACCTCGCAAACTATCTCGCGAACTATATATCGGTATATATTTTCTGTACGTAGTCTCCTTCTCGAACGAGATCAGCGCAGGGCATATATACCAAGGATTCGAAGTTGCTCGCAAGTCTCGCGGTAACGGAAAACGAGAGAGAGCACCAGATGTTCCAGAGCACATAAAAGAGCTGCTGCTGCTGCAAAGCCGATCGATCCGTCCGCGGATATCGTCAGAGAGCTTCGCGAGCAACTGTAACGCTACACAGCAAAGTCGCGGTACAGCATGCGCGCGAAGAGGTCAGCCGAGCGCATGGGTCGCGGCGTGCGATCGCGGATCGATACGTCATTATTTTTATTATTATCATCGCGTATACGGAACCCACGTTACATTTATTTATCACGCGTGGATCGCGGAGCTTTGCCGCGGCGCAGCGTAAACACAGCTCGTTATATGCATGGTTTTGTATCATGTACGTCGAATGTATTATAACCGAGGCGAATCGCGCACAATATATTTAATCAAAATTAATGTTCGCGCAAACACGAGGATCCGAAGAACGAGGCGATCAGTGACAATTATACGACGTTGAGTATCCCACGCAGCCGACTTTTTCGCGGTATAATTATTTTAATTCGTTACGGCGCGTACGCGCATTGTTACTATCTGTCATTGATCCAAGGAAAAAAAAAGAAAAAAACAAATGAAAACGGCGTGCCTCCTAATAGCTTTAACTGTAAATTGACAAGCCGATCCCGGCGATGCGGTCCTCCACAACTGCAGCAGCAGCAGCAGCGAAGAGGGTCCCGGGCAATGAATCATTATTATATGTATATAGTACGCACCGCCGAGCAGCAACAACAACAACAACGAGCACGAAGCTCGCTCGGATCATTTAGTACCAGCGCGAGTGGTAGACAATAATCAATTTTTAAGACTTGTTCTCTCTGTCTCTCGCAGAGCTTATATACATTTAAAATATACATAAGAGCAGCAGAGGAAAGAGAGAGAGATAATCAAAGTCGCACAAATCATGTGTACGCGTCTTAACGAGTATACACGAGTCGTACATACATACATACGTATATCGACCGCGTATATTAATTATCTATACGTGTACGTATACTCTATTGCGAGGACGACGCGGAGCAGAGCCTGATCACGATGCACACGTGTAACACAAGTGTCCATACGCGATATATCATAAATGAATAGGGGGCATAGGAATATATTTATAATAAGAAGAGAATTAGACTCACGAGTATGGTGAGCTGGCAGTCGCTGTGCTGTAGCCCGTCGTCGGCCCTCACCCTGAGGACGTAGGTATCCTTGGCCTCGCGGTCCAGCGCCTCGACCAGTCGCAGCTGACCCGTGCCGGCGTCCAGCTTGAACGGACTCGACGATCTGTACAACACAAGCGGCAATAGAACGAATCTTATTAATAGTTCTTTATGATATAATTTTTACTCTATTTCTCTCCATTCTTTTTTCCTTCGATCATATGAGCTGCCCCCATGGGCGATGATCGCTGAGAGAAAGAGAAAGAGAGAAGAAGCCGAGCCCAGCTTTGTGCGTATCATATTTATATTTTATAAAGTGTACAGCGGCAGCAACTCTCGGCTGAGTGATGAGAACAGGAAGTTGCTCGCTATACGGTATGTATGCATGCAGGCAGGTAAATAAGAATACGCGCGTGACAGAGTAATTGCCGCTGAAGGGATCTAGGATAATTGATTCTGCTATTGCGGGTGGCACATTTCACGTATACATGCGCGCGAGTTTTTTTTTCTTATCCTTGCCGCTTCTACTTCTTCCTCGAGCTTTCTCTCTCGTATAATCTGCCAAGGCAAGCCGATCGGTATATGTACGTCAAGTAATATGCATACGTACGCGCGCGCACAAAGACTCTCGGAGCTATACACGTTATAAACTTTTGTTGCTAAATACATCGCGAGTAAACTGGGCTGCGTATAAGAAGTAACGATCAAACTGCTCTCTTACCTGCTGCTGCTGCTGCCGACTTCGAGGAGGAGATTGTCTTGACTATCGCCGCCGCTGCCTCCGTTGTTGTTGCCGTTGGCCGCGGGCGGTGGCTCGACTATGCTGTACTTGACGCTGCCGATGCTGTCCGGGTCCTCGGCCCGCAGCTGGGCTATCAGAGTGCCGGGCGGCGCCTCCTCCGAGACCTCGTACCTCCACGGGCCGCCGGACGACCAGCTGGGCGCCACGTCGTTCTTGTCCAGCACGTTGACTCGCACCTGCGCAACAAATAACGAACGACACTGTTAATTATTGGTATAAAAAGCATTGTCCTTTTAGTAGCATGAGCTTTATGAACCCATCAACAGATGGAGCATTGTGAACCCGCAATTTGTAAAAATATACTTGAATACTACATATATACTGGATACAACAGCAATATAACATAGGTATCTTTTGTATTTGTATCATTTTTGCTATTCTAGATAAGTTAAAGAAGTTTGCACAGAGCAATACGTTCAAGAGATAAGGTGATAATATTTTATCATCAGTTTTTTTTAATAAAGCAAACGTATAATTTTCTCCGATCCAGCTTGAAAGTGCTCACTTTTGTAATGGTACTTTAGACCATTCTTTGACTTATATTCTTTTTCGCGTATTAGCGACGCTGCAGCGGAGTGCATAAAAACGTATTATGAAAATTATGCACAGCGATCGTTCGCTAAGTGGTGCGCGTACGTCTCACAAAAACCTACCGATTGGACTGAATCGGTGCTTTCTTTTTTCATCATTATTCTTCTCCTTCTACCCCGACTCTTCATTAGATCGAAGTCTTATTTAGTACGTTTTAATTTTACGATTGCTAATTCGCGTCTCCGCGTCTGTTAAAATTTTTTCTTTCTTTCTCTCTCGTTTGTCGTTAAATAAACCGCAGGGCGCAGCGACAGCAGTTCGATCGGTCGTCGTCGTCGCGGTGTGAAAAAACTCGGCCTATGTATATTATGCACCAGAGACATCAATGACGTGCTGAGAGAGAGACAGACAGAGAGAGCTCCGAAGCGCCATATTATGTATTATATGAAAAAGAGAAGAGACCGCAGAGAGCCTCGAAGCATCGCGCATATATTTATATACGCTTACGAATTGGACTCGATGAAAGCAGCGCATATACAATTTGCACCGCTTCGTCTCCTTTTTTTTTATTATTATTATTTTCGGAGAGCCGATAAAATTTAATTGAAGCAAATTACCGATATTAACGACCAGCGCAATTATTCTATTTAGGCGTTCTCTCTCTCTCTCTCTCTCTCTCTCGGTTTTTTGAGAAATCGCGCGCATTAACGCTCGTATTTTATTATGCATACTCGTGTATATTATACGCCAACGAGTCAGAGAGAGATCCGAGATCGTTTGAATATTTCAATTTCGCGGCTGCAGCGCGCACATATCGAGCGCCGCGCGGCATCCCGATCCTGCAGCCTACGATTTCAAACGCGCGATCAAGAAGAGACGGGGGGCTCGTTAACATGCCACACTTGTCGTAAATATAAAAACGGCCAAAGCAAAAAAACAAGGGAAGCGCATTTCTAAAATATAATATTAAAATAATATTTGCTCACGCGGACTGTTATAAGCGCGCGCCGATCCTCTATATAATATGCCTTATAAACTATTTTTTTATAGATCCGATTGTCTCTCGTTCTCTCGTTTCTCGTATATATATTATTTTATATAATCACTCGTATGCAGATGAAAAGCCCCACAGCGTGAATTCTCTCTTTCGCGCGCGCGATCCGTGTGCTTGCATGGTGGCGTCTGTGCTTGATGCGATACGGGCCTATATACCAGCGCGCGGGGGGAGGAATCGGCGCGGCGCGAAAGACGTGTGTGTGCGAGAGTAAGAGAAACAGAAAGAGAGAGAGACACGAGATCGTTAAATGTTTTATAGTCTTGTATCATCAGCAGTTTTCGAAGATTATTAACGGTACAATCGTTGCGTATACATACATGCAATAAGCATTTTCCCGTTTCTTCGTGATATCGCTCGCTCTGCTTGCAGAGCAAGTCGTCGTCGTCGTCGTGGAGACCTGCGCGAGGTGCACTTGTGCACACTGCACGCACAATTTCGGAATCGTCGTCACGCCGTTTTTTTTTTTTTTGGCTCTTCGTTTCCTTTTTTTTATAGTCGAAAAACACTCACGCGCTCGCGCGGGATAAGATTCTTTCTCTGTCTCTCTCTCTCGCAGTCCACGCAGCACAGGATAATTAGAGTGTAAATCGTGAAGCAATAAAAATTTCTCAAATGTATTTGTGTATACGTGTATGTTCGAGAGCGTTATATTGTCGTAAAATTTGCTGTTTTTCTGTCCTAATGTCCAGGCGGCGCAGAGAGCCGCGCGCGCGAAATCGATTCATTCTCGTTTGTCAACGCGCGAGCGATCCTGGGCCGCGCGCGCTTATTGCACGCAGCTATCGCGCGAGTACGAGAGCATAAAAAAAGCATAAAATTCAGCATTTTTTCTCAAGAGGTCGACGAATTCGCATGCGTGTAAGTTTCCACGATGCATTAAAAAAATAAAACGCGTCGAGATCGTCGTGCGTCACGTATAATATAGGTATGTATGAATTTTCAGTTTTTCTAAAATATTTGATCGAACATTCGTATAGGATACGATCGAGATGCAAAGATGAAGGAAATTTCCACGATAAAAAGCGAAAAAAAAGTAATTTGCACCTGGGTGAGCGCGCGAGTTTAGAGTTCTACTGCACCCACGCGCTCACAGTGGCACCACACACGCATATACATATTGAAGCTCGAGTTTGCATGGAACTCCGCAGAGAGCTGCGGGAGATATAACGCTCGTCTTTGATAGGAAGGAAGAGGAACGAAGCCAAAAGAAATATGGCGAGTAATCGCTGGGTGATCTCACCTAAATAATGTGCTTTTAGGCCTTCTATCGTGCTGTTATTTTTCCTCCTCTTCTCTCTCTGTCTTTTTTAGTTTTGTTCTGCTCTCGAGGCACATACGCACGCGATTCTCGTATACGTGTATACAGGCCGGTTTTTCGGTATCAGGGAGACTCTCTATGTTTATAGGTGGCTGCCTCGAGAGAGTCTATATATATTCTATATACGTATAAGCCAGAAGAGCACAAACTCGCTTCTATATACAAGCCGGGGCCAAAAAGTGCATAATTCCCGTTGGACTTTGGCGAGTCTCGCGAACGAGGCATGTATATACGCATATAGCCCCCCATACCGCCGACTCATCATCGTTTCGATATTCACGCGCATTATATATAGTGGATAGAGGCCCCATACATACACATAGCTTGAGAATTTCTTAATGATTTATATTGATTCGTGGAATTTTTCGGAGCGCCGCTCTTTTTTTTGTTACTTCTGCTGCTGCTCTTCCTCTCTTGTCTATGTAGATTCGATTCTCTTTTTATTCGCTCTATTTTTATATACGAGACATCGCGTTTACGTTATATCATATAAAAAAGAGTACACGATACATTCCAAGATGTTTCGATGTTACGCGTGCGAAGAACCGAGGAGGCGAAGGGGGTCGCGTCGTGGCGTTACGTGCACGTTTCAAAAAATTATCTTCAAAAAAATGTCCGAAAGGGCCCCCCGATTCAATTAGGATGGCGTGCGTGTGCCGTCGCTGCGCACTGTGCGGAATTACATCTCTCGCGCGCGCGCGTACATTAATATAACAAACGACGCCGCTTTGTGCATACGTACGTTATATTATAAAGCACATATACGTATATATTATATAAATACATCTCGCGAGAGAGAGAGATGGATATAAATCCATACAGAAGTGAAGAGAGAAGAAACTCGGGGCTCAAACACGTCGAGATTCTCGGCGATGCTCGATTCCTGCGAGCGCGCGCGCCTTGGATCGAGTATTTAAAGGTGCACACATGCACACACACACACACACACACACACACACAGGCATATATGACCCAAAGAAAAGCCCCGCTGGGCTCCCTCGTGCTGATGTTGCTGCTGCTGCTTGAGATCCCCAACCGCGGGCTCGCGAGACTTGCACCGAGATAGCATCGCTCGAGCGAGAGAGAAAGAGAGACAGCCACGAGCACTTGGAGCAGGTCTTATGCTGCCGTTCATGATGCCCGGTTCATACATATATAGACGCTATGGGCAAACCCATAAGCTGCTGCTGCCGCTGTGATCCTCTCCTTTCCTCCCTCCCCCAGCCCCTATTTTAAGTCCCCCAATATACGCCGCGAGGTTCCTTAACATTTATATACCCTTTTTTTTCTTTCCTTCTCTCTCTCTTCTCTTCGCTTGTAACGTTCATCCTGCGCGAATCGAGTCTTAGGCTGCTGCTGCGATGCTCGCTCGCGGCTCATGTCGTGATCTCTGTTGAGAAGCCGCGCGCTCGGCCTGCCATGTGCCTGTGAAGCAACAGTTAGGCTCTTGTATATGTAGAATATATATATACACACACACAGACCAATCGACCGATCATACGTTGTGTATTGGCCTCTCTTCCGCCACCACCGCTAAATTTTACGATAGATGCGTCGAAATTTATCGCTTATCGAGGCTCTCTCTCTCACTTGCTCTTGGTAAGGAAAGGGGATGTACAACGCAAAGGAAGAGATGGACAGACGCACGAAATAACGTGCAACGTCGTGAGTGCATGCAGCATACATATATACACACACAGGGCAGTTTTTGATCGATAAGTGCCCTATATATAACAGGGCCCGGTGCAGAGATTCGGAAAGAGAGAGAGCGAGAGGTATATAGTACATGGCGCGGAGGGATAAAGCCTTAAGTGCGGGGTGTCACTTTGGAATGGCTGTTTTAGCTAATTCGATTAATTTTAGGGTAACCTAATAGCTATATACACGCGATATATATATATTCGTATATCGAGAGGCATTTACTTCATATATTTACACACATACACACACATACACACTCGTCTGTTTCTGCAGCACAGGCATAATTATATATCTTTTAAGAGTTGAATTTTTCAGCCAAATGGTTCGTAGAATAAATATATACGCAGCGCATTCGAGTACTACTATTTATTAGAAACCAAATCTATGCGTTCTCTCGCTGTCTCTCTCTCTTTCCTTGTGGTGTCTAGGCAAGAGAAAATTATCATGTATATCGCGCACGAGAGGCTCGTTTAATAAAAGACTTTTGGACTAGATAAAAAAAAACAGCCAAGTCTCACCGAGATATTTGCACGGAATTATTATTAACGACTGCGCGGTATCAATTGTAG